TTTTAACTTATTTCAAATGGTTTTTGCCCCACCTCAAAGTTATAACTATACGTACTGGAGTGACAATTTCTTTCACAGCTTTTACGTATAATTTAATTCTTAGGTCTTTTTTCACTGCTCCTTGGACTGTTTTAGCTGAAATGTCTTATGGATTGAGTTAGATCTTTTCTAATTGATCTCTTTCGCTATAAACTGAAATGATGAACCCTCTTTATGTTCTGATACCCTGATCTAGTTTTCTTCACTACTGTTCGTTCTCTTTAAAACTTATTCACCGTTCTCTTTATGGTTTTTGAATGGTATTTGAAGATGGAAGCCAAAGTATGAATATTGCTATAATTATTGAAGGCCTGAATGTTCTTGTTTCTTTCACTTCATCTGGGAAGACTGAGGCTGATACAAAACGATTTGGATGTTCTTTTTTTTTTTTAGATGAATAACTCAAAGGACTTATCAGTGACTCGTACGACAAATGGTGCCAAAATGGTTAAACGTCTTATCTGAAAAAATATATAATCTTTGTTCCAGAAGAATTTTATGCTCGCCAATACAATACAAATGAATGCATATGCTCACACCTTCCGCGTATGTCAACACAAACAATCACAATTACAAATATACGCCCAGCTTCGTAGACCTGCTAATACGCTCTTACAACTACAATCAAAGAAACCTCCATTGTTTCCTATGCATCGATAATTTCAATGATTGACTGATAGGCTTGCGTTCCGGGCAACACGTCTTTGATTTTCTGTGTTACTTTACTGCGTGTCGTGTTATTTTCCTTTATTCGTTTCTCTGACAATTATGACCCGTCGGTGAACAGTAACTTTCATTGTTGTCTCTAGATAACGATTTCAATAGAGTTTATTGCTTGTCAAATTTTTGATATTTTAACAATCGGGTTCTGCGACTATCAGCGTTGTCTTTCTAATGAGATAGGCGTTTTCCATTTTCCTTTCGCTTGCTTATAAGACAATCTCTAGAAGTCGATTTCTATTCCGTTTCTCAAACATCACACACGTTGCAGCCATTATACTTTGAAAAAGTATATTGCGCAAGAGCATTAAAAATATAGATACACAATGAAACATCAAGCGGCTTCAAACTTAAAAACAAGAATGAAAAAATATTACGCATCTTTTAAGAAAATTATCTAATTAAAGATAATGAGTTTTGGTGACAGTAGGATAGAAGATAATCGATGTATGTTGTCAGCTTATTAAATATAATTTCTTAATGAAACCTGTGAATTAACTTTAAACGTGCTACTAGATTGGCCACTATGTCGAACCGTGGTAGTATTGAAATAGTGAAATGCAACCGCCACTTCTAATCCAACAGCTTCTTTTCTCAGACCTCTCACCTGTGGAACTATCTTCCGTTTATTGACAAGCCTGATAAATAAAATCTTCAGGTATTTAAATGCAACATCAATCCTCGTCTTCTATCTTTTGTCCTTTCCCCAATCCTGCCTACACTGAGTCTTTTCTCTCACTCTCTGTAAGGCCTTGCGTACTAGTGGCATTTCCAATTGGCTCGGGAGTGAAATGATTAAAACAATAATTCCTAAGCAAAAATAGAAATTTAAGATCAGGCCCGACTAGAAAAGTACCATAAGAATCATTGTGTTTTTATGGTGTTTTTCGGGTGACCTTTAACGGAAATTGCTTATCACTTAAGCGTCAAATTAGTTCTCTTTGTTTTCCTTTCTAATCATTATTTGGGTTGCACAGTTTTTAATACAAATATTTTGAATTGTATCTTCGTCCGGTTGGTTATTTATGTATTTTCAAATATATTCTGCGGAATAGCTTCAGCTAAATTCTTTGCGTGTTCCTTGTTTTACCAGGGACTTTTTTAAAGGTTAATCAAGGAGATTTTATGGGTTACGTTGGAGGCTGAAGAAAAAAAAACGAAACTTAAAAACACGAAGAGAATGAATTCGACGATTAATGGAAGCGACAACCATATTCTATCAAAAAAATCTTAATCGAAAAATTTAATTCGGTTATTCCGTAAGAAATACATTTTTAATAAGCAGACGTTAAATAGCCACCATCTTGAATTTTGTATTTTCCTTACTGATACTTTGCAGCATACACTGTAAATTTAACACTTGCTTCATTTTTTATTGGTTATTTTCTATGATTTTTTTTTTTTAAAAGAAACAATTCTTCTTGCAAACAAGCATTGAAAAATCATGGATTTTATTTTATGTGAAAAAAGTTTTATTCATGGAAGCCGCTTTCACAATTGTTTTATTTGGTTTAATGCAGTGATTAAAAGCTTCGGTATTAAGTTGTCTACCGGATATTAAATACTGTTGAATTGGAGTTGAAAATAAGCTTGACGAAACACGCTTATAAAAATAAGAGGAAGGAATTAATATCAGTATATATGAATTCTTTATCTCTGCAATAGCCATGAAGTTTTGCGTTTAAAGACCTAAATGAGTACACGAAGATGAATAAATTTATACGCATTCATTTTCTTTAAAGCCTGTTTCTTGTATAATACGCATGTATAACATTAAATTTAGTACATTATTTACATTATTCGGACTATTGTCCTCATCTTTGTCGCCATATTTATTACAACGTTTCGGCCGTTGTACGCTCCGGCCTTGTAAGAATGTCGAAATGGACTCTTTATTTCGCTCACTGGGGTAGACAGTTCAAGTTCCACGTGCCATGTTTAATGGATGTCATTTATCAGTTATCTCCTGTCAATTTCTCTGAAAGTTCTGCACTGCCTTAACCGGGTATTGAACTCACACTATTTGGGTCCTGTCACTGAATCTAACTAACGCCTCTATCCACTGTGCTATGTGTCCTTGAGCGAAATAAAGTGTTCAGTTCGACATTCCAACCACCTGAAGAAGGCCGGAGCGAACAACGGCCGAAACGTAATAAATATGGCGACAAAGATGAAGACAATAGTCCGAATAATGTAAATAATGTACATAATACCTCATCTCAGATATATAGACAGATTAAATTTAGTACATCAAAATATATAACTTTTTTTTTTATTAGAATACACGTTTAAGTGCTGAATCTAGATGCGTCGTCAGTGTTGTTGCTCCCATGTCACTAGAAGTTTCGGGTCTAAATAAACAACAGACTTCTTCGATGGGCGACCCGACCGAATATGATCAGCATTCGGCCCGCACCTAGAAGAAAAATTTGCCACTAGCTTTAAGACGCGAATTATATAAGTTGCCTCAGCAAAAAAAACCCCAAAAAACAACCACCAATAAAGACTCCACTTGGGCTATTCGAAGTTATAAATTAGGTATGCATGGTTGTAGTGATCTTCCTACTTGCGGCCAAGAATGGGTGTGTTTTTTGGAAGAATAGAAAAAACAAACCAATAAATATACTCATAAATACATCTACACATACATATATACATATATATACACACACACATACACACACACAAATATATATATATATATATATACACATATACACACACACAAAAAAAAACAAAAAAAATAAAAGAAAAGAAACAAACGATTTATTATATTGGCTCGTCTTGCGACTTGTTCTTTCTCTACCTCCCCTTTTAACTAACTTATGTTTGGTCTTTCTTTTCTTAAATAATGTACATAATACCTCATCTCAGATATATAGACAGATTAAATTTAGTACATCAAAATATATAACTAGATATCCTATGATTTTTTTTTATTGTTCTGACACGATAAATCAGTGGTTACGTCTGATCAGGTTTCATATAGACTGAAATGCGAACAGAATTCTTTATTATCGTTTTATGCCACCATAGTTAATCAACATAAACAAGATCAAATAAGAATAATCCGCCCAAAATAATCGCCAAAATAAACCTACTTTTAACTATGAGTTTACGTCCTTCTATAATTAGTTCAGGACAATGATGTTTCTTTCTAATTTACTTGCCCAATAGTCCTACTCTATAAAAGAGCAGCAATCATTTTTCCCCTTTTTTTAGATAACTTTCCCCAGTTTCATAATCTGATCAAACAAATTAGCTTACATGTCTGAAACCAAAATTGTATCTGCGAGAAAACTGAGAGGTATGGATAGCTTCCTAGACATATACACGGAAAAGAAAATGTTTTTCTCTTCCTGGACGTTTTAAATATTGTATTGTCTGTTAAAGAGATCAGAATATGTAATGGATTTTACAGATTTTTATATTAAGTCGAACATATCAGGGAGGAGAGTTTGTATATCATTAAAATTCTGATTAGAAATGTAATTTTATCTCGGCTCAAACATCACGTTCTATTGTATGTCACGACGTATGTTTTGAAATGGATGCACGACGAATATTTTAGTTATTCTGAACAGACATATAATTTCAAATGACTTATCTTCAGGCTTTAAGTTTCGCAGATACGCCATTCTGCTCGATAGTCCAAATAAATAGATTTATAATTAATAGCTTTACTTATTTTCACCGTTAACAGTCGTATTAGCTCTTTCTCAACCAGGAAACATTTGGCATTCGTTGACCATGCAGCTAGTACTGCTTTCGGTTAAAGTTTAAAAATTCTTAAAACATTTTTTCAGGAAAACAGTTTATTTTCGAGTAGAGTAGCTGCTATCGCTCTTAACAGTATTGAAGAGTGTGTATGTGGGTGGTAGGGTGAAATTAAAAGGCGCCAATCATTGAGGCAAATTAACCATCAAGCATCTATACTAAAAAATATGACCTGACAGCATTTAAAAGTTAAAACGTGACTACATATAAACTGGAATGGTTTGATTTTGTGTTGTCGTGATATGTTAATGGATTCAATAGATTTAACTTATCTTGAGGAATGCAACGCCATATCTGAGAGAATAGAAGTCGGAAAGTAATGCAGTTTGAACTGTTGTTGCTGAAATATCTAATATTAAGTACGCTATTTACATGCATCTGCTATAAACGCGTTGAAAATCAGTAATTTACTGGTCGATGTGCGTTGTTAGATGTCTTCCTTTCAGTCACTCACTGTCATTTAGACTCTCTGTGACTCCCTCTCAGTCATTTTGTATATATATCTCTCTGACTCCCTCTCTGTCATTTTGTATCTCTCTCCCTCCTCTGTCTCTCTCTGACACCCTCTGTCATTTTGTATATATCTCTCTCTCTCTGACACCTTCTGTCATTTTGTATATATCTCTCTCTCTCTGACACCCTCTGTCATTTTGTATATATCTCTCTCTCTCTGACACCCTCTGTCATTTTGTATATATATATCTCTCTCTCTCTGACACCCTCTGTCATTTTGTATATATCTCTCTCTCTCTGACACCCTCTGTCATTTTGTATATACCTCTCTCCGACACCCTCTCCGTCATTTTGTATATATACCTCTCTCCGACACCCTCTCCGTCATTTTGTATATATACCTCTCTCCGACACCCTCTCCGTCATTTTGTATATATACCTCTCTCCGACACCCTCTCCGTCATTTTGTATATATACCTCTCTCCGACACCCTCTCCGTCATTTTGTATATATACCTCTCTCCGACACCCTCTCCGTCATTTTGTATATATATCTCCCTCCGTCATTTTGTATATATATCTCCCTCCGTCATTTTGTATATATATCTCCCTCCGTCATTTTGTATATATATCTCCCTCCGTCATTTTGTATATATATCTCCCTCCGTCATTTTGTATATATATCTCCCTCCGTCATTTTGTATATATATCTCCCTCCGTCATTTTGTATATACCTCTCTCCGACACCCTCTCCGTCATTTTGTATATATACCTCTCCGACACCCTCTCCGTCATTTTGTATATATATCTCCTCCGTCATTTTGTCATTTTGTATATATATCTCCCTCCGTCATTTTGTATATATATATATATATATATATATCTCCGACACCCTCTCCGTCATTTTGTATCTCTCCGCCTCTGACTCCCTCTCTCTCCGTCATTTTTTCTTGCTCTCTCTGTGATTCACCTTCTTTCACCCCACCTCTTTAGCATTCACAAGAATATGGTTCAAAAGAATCTCGCTATCAGCTACAATGCAATGACACCTGCTGGAAAAAGCATTTCACAAATTCTTCCATGATGATCTTGACTCTGCTATTGTCATGTTTTAACAGCAAATTCCTTGATGACTTCTCACAAACCTTTATCTGATATACACATATTACTTTCTTTTCGATTGAGCAACCAACATTTTGCTCCATCTGTTATATTTTCTTCTTACTAGTGTTCACCCACTTCGACTTTTTCATCTTTTTTTCTTTCATATCTCTTACCTGGGCCTGTTCTCTGATCCATGTTTGGCTCTTTATATCTCCCTGTTACCCATAGTATTGTACTATCTTTAAGGGTTTCTCAGGTACTTTGCAAGAATTCTTTTCTATCTGTAAGTCACAGCAGGCATTATACGTGCATTTTACTTTTTATTCGTACATTATGCCGACGAGGTGCTTTACTCCGTTCCATATTTATCTGTCGTTTTCTTATATTTTCATGAACTTATTCTCTTTACCTTGCCTGCACCATGTTGTTGTAGTCTTGGAACTCTTCCAGATCTTCATCCTCCTATTTTATGATCGTTTTTAGGATGTCGGAATGTAAATTAGTCAATTTGTATTTTTTATTCATTTAGTATGGGAATTGTACAATAGTGTCAGTAAATTGTAGATAGTTTAGATATTCGTTGTTACTGCTATTTCTCTAAATTTAATTTTTGGAAAATTCCGAAGCATGCTGCAAATAAATAAAGCACATTCTTGTCACTAAGTTGCTATTCGTCGTCAGCCATTATTCTCTATGAGCCTTCTTATAGAAAAATTTTGACAGCGATGTTGTATATATTCTTAATATTACTTTTTTTTTGTTTTTTTTTTTTTACATAATTTTTGTAAATACGTAAATCCTGCCGAGTTTTTTTTACTGAGGGGAATGCTTTCTCATGATGGAAAAACTGAATCAATATCTATGTATAAGTAGATTAAAAAATTGTGTATTTTATATAATTAATGAAATATAATAAATGACACAAACAAACCTAAAAAGCTAGGTTAAATGAGTGTGATATGAGAAAATAAGTTGGCAGTTTTAAATCAATACATACTAAGTGTTAAAATCTAATTCCCGAAATAAGCACAGGATATCTCTATACTAATGAGTTTGATAAATATTTATATTCGTGCAAGTCTGAACGTGTTCCAAACTTGCTTCCTTGAAATGTAAAACAGGAGTAAATAGTTGCCGAGCAGTATAGGATATTTTACGTATTTATGTTTTGCCGTTGGAATGACATGAGTGAAAAGAAACTAAATTTGTTTGCTGACTGGTAAAGTTCAAGTGAATCTGTAGCAATGTTAAAGTGGATAATGATAAACATGATTTAAAGAAATCTATTTTTTGTGTGGAAATCTTTGTTCATCTATAGGCGAAATGTGGATGATGACATATAGAATATATGCTGTTTTTGAGAGCGCAAGTCTGTGCTCAGATCGAAGATAAAGTGTGCTGCTGAAATAATAACTGAACAGGGATATGTGATCAGGGAGACGCATTCAAAGAGTATACTGGTGCCTCATATTTTGTTTCATGGGCAGAAACATTGCCTTCACGTTTTATCTGATCTTTTGAATAATACCATGATTGATAGGGGCATTTCTTGGGATGAAAGGTGTTTTTAACAAGAACCAGAAACAAGACAGCAAAACATGCAGCGGGACACTAATTCTACATCTCGGCCGAAAATATACCCATGCTTTCCTCACAACTCTTGTACACAGTTATGGTTTAATTTATTTTTGTCACTGCTCCATCCAAAATAAAACAGGACAACAGAATCTCAGTGTTGAGTCCATGTTTATGAAACACCAAATTAGATGGACTAGTACTCATGCCTAAACGGGTTACGTATGGGGAGTTAGCACAGGGAAATGATAGTTGTGTAAGCCCTGAAAGCGCTATAAAGACAATCTGAAGGACACACGCAAAAAAATACATAGAAAAACATAGGAAGAACTGGCATCAGATTGGCAAACAGGGAAAAATCGGATTGCAACTGAAGACAGGAATTTTCAGAACGGCAGGAGTAAATATACGCCACAGAAACGTGCAGACAGATAGACTAACACGCATCAAACCTCTCTCAAAACGCGGAACGAAGGAGTCTCTTACATGTGATCCTTGTGACCGCATTTGATTTTCAATCACACGCATAGTCCTCATGATTTCATCTACAAATATGCTATTCCCAATGATCATACATATACAATCTGCCGTAAATTGTGTCGATCAGCGAGCGGATTCGCACGACATTTCCACAGCCATTATCCAGAAATGCAAGCTGCATCAAGGAGTATGGTATGTCACCAATGTGGGAAGATCTTTAAAGCTTATTTTCATCAACGACGGAATGACATTATATAAAATTAAGTATGTCCACTGTTTTCGCGGAAAAACAGCATAGCGTAAATGAAAAATGCCACAAACTTAAAGAAAATAAAGTATTATCGTCAAAATGCTTATGTTATTATTAAGATGAAAGAAAAAAGTATTTTTTAATTATTTTTTGAAATTTTTTAATATTTTCTAACACGTTCGAAATTTTGGTTAAAGTCGTCTTTGTTTACGTCATCGCGGTTACGTTTAAAATAACATAGTTTTTTCTTTTGCGTTTTTTTCCCGTTGAAAACATTGATTCGAAATTCTTGTAAAAATAAAATAATTGTCCGATCTTAATGAAATTTTCAGGACTTATTCACAAATGAATGAAATTATTTTTTAAATATTTTGTTTTTAGAAAATTTTGGTAATAAATATTTTTTTTTTAAATATGTTACCCCCCACTTAGTTAATTTCATGAAATTTCGCCCAAAACCTTTTTGGCTCCTCAATTTTATTTTTTTGTTAAAAGGAGTCGGTGTTGGAGATGGTAAATAACCTACTTTTTTTTTTCAAATTTGAGCTACTTAACTGAAAATCTTGTCTGAATTGATATTACTTAATTAGAAAAAGCTTTTAATTGCTTTTGTAAATAAGTAATATTAAGGACATTATTGTCTGAAGAAATAATTTTTTTCTGATGAATAATTAATTTTTACAAGAATTTTTTCGTTTTTTAAGAAATTTTACTTACAATAATTTATAATAGTTTAACATCGTGTAAAGCTCTCTATTAGGAGGGCTCCTCAATATTATGTAGTAATTAAGTAGAGAAAAAAAATTACGAGTCCAAAATTGCTTAGTTTAATAAATTTAATTGCGTTACATTTTTTAAAAATAATTATTATGTTGTATTTTTTTACTTAATACATTCCTTATTTCCATGTATGATATACAGAAATTGCCATTATTATAACAAGGTCACGTGATCTAAGGGTTTTGTCCCTTTACGTGGCCTTTTCAAAACATTTCGTTTCTTAGAGTTTGTTTTCCGTTCAGCTTTAAAAGTGTAAACTTTAAATTTCAACAAAGATTTCTTTGAAATCAGATTACTTTAACTTTAATTTTTTTAATTATACTAAAATAACGTGTCAGAATTTTTTTTAAATATTTTAAAAATCGATAAATTTGTGTTTGTTTACAAATTTCTTAAAATTAAGAAAATGGCCGTTTTTAAGAAAATTTAAAAATTTGAAATTAAATTTGACAATCTATATATATATATATGTATATAGTTTCTATCTGAAATACACCAGAATTGTTTAATTAATAGAAATCGTAAATTATTAAACTTTCAATTAAAGCTAAAATGAAATCTTCAAGAATGTTTTTTCGTTGTAAAAAAATTCATTTTAAACTTCAATATAGAAAATTTATGCCGAAATAGTGGAGGTACTTATATAAAATGTGTAAAAAAAATTAAGAAATTTTGAGTGCAAGAAATGGTCTAGCTCAATCACGAGTTGACTTCAACTAATATATATATATATATATATATATATATATATATATATATATAAAGCATTAAATAATATAGACAAGTGTTGTCTATTTATTTTATGTAAATTCTTTTCATAACGTCTGATAAGCTTAATAATATTATCATTGAACGAAGAAAGAAAATCACAATATTGATAAAAAAAATTCTTACAATTAAGAATAACACATTTCTAAAAACATATTTCGGATTATATCTATTTTTTTGTTGTCCTGTTATTACCGGAAGTAAAAAAAAAAACAAATCTATTTCCA